GGCAAGAAAGTTCACCAGTTTGGTGTGATTAATAACACACAATCATATTTTGTTTCGCATTGCTATAGCCTTTACAATTCTTAAACTATTCATTAAGTTTAATTCTCCATTTGATTTATAGAGCTTGATTGATAATTCACTGTACGTTGCTATAAAAAATCAATCATATATGAAAAGACATGATGAAAAAAAAAAACAGACAGTAAAAATAAAATGAGCATTTAAATCCTGTACTTATCGAAGTTTTTCTTCTTAATTCCTGTAAAACTGACAAGTGATTTATGATCCTGGACCCAGCTGGAGATTAAAGGGTTAAAATTAAATGTAATAAGCACAATATTATATTGTTGTTGTTTCTTCCTTGTTCTGTAGATATTGTTTCATATATAAGATTAATTATAAGTTCAAGATGAATTATAATTTATATCTTTCTGCCTGTTACACTAAGCTTCATCGATCAAAATAGGTTGTTTACGTCACTTGAACCATAAGTGATGACCATTAGTTTATAACAATGGATTTCGATAACTAGTGTCAGATAATAATCTTGAATTTTATTTGATAAATGAGGTGCTGAAAAGAGTTATATAGCTAAAAAAATAACACTTTTAATATATAGACTGTCGAATATATATATATACGTATTTATGATACAGTACACTGAGGATACAGTAGCAAAGAGATTTGTATCTTATTCCTGAAGATTCAACATATTATGAGTTATAAATGCACCAGAAGCGAGAGATATCGGAAATTCTTTTCATGTTTAGTATACTGTACCCTTTAGTTGGTACGAAGTAACTCACTAAACTTATGTATTTATGTTTAGTATCCTGTACCCTTTAGCTTGTACAAAGAAACTCACTAAAATTATGTATTTATTAATGACACAAGTACCAGAAAAGTTTTTGAATGATTAATATTTAAGGTTTCTGAAAAGGTTTTGCTTCGTATTAAAACCATTTAACTTTCCTTCTGGTGGTATTATAAGAAACTAATGTACCCTCTGGTGGTGTCAAAGAGAATTAACGTGATTCCGCTTCTATGATGCCACAGGTCACGTGAAACCAATCGGAGCTGAAGATGATCGAGCTCCTAATAAGTGTACTTCAAGAAAGTGACGGCTCCGATGGCACTTGGATTTAATAAAAAAAGTTAAGTTACACTAGTGCTGTGAATTTCGTTAGAATTAACCAAGGTATCATATTGAAAAAAGACCCAATACATAGTGACAATATTTCCACTTATAAACTGTTTTTAAAAGCGTCTCAACACAACTGAACACTACTCTAAATTTATAGAAGCATCTGAAATTGAAGTAGCAAACACTAAGAAATAGGTAAATTACTTGATTATTAACAAAAACAATTATATAGATTTGTAAGTGACAGATATGGGTACGGATTACGAAGTACGTCTAAATCAAAAACTATACTAACAATACCAATATGATTTGTTTGCAACTTTTCAGTTTCCTCGTGGTGCTAAAGAATCAATTTACATGATGTTTACTTGTTTGTTGAATATCGAGCTACTCGTGAGCTATCTACGCTAGTCCTATCTAACTTGTAACGCCCAACGGTTGAAAAAGGTAGGCATGTTCGATGACAGGATTCGAACCCGCCACCTTCAGATTGCGAGACATAGCACCCTAATCACTTTACATGATGTAAACTTTTCAAGAAGTAATACTTTTCAAAATTCTCCACAGATGACACTGCCTGCATATTACATTTTTGAAGAAGAAAAATGTGCATATGTATAACGGATATCGGAATATTGTAAACAATAAGTATTTTCGAGATATATAATTTCAGTAGCGATATAACGTAATACTGCCGTGTATTAATACATAAAAATTAACATTTTAACAACCATTAGAAAAGTGATACACGTGTAATGATCAATAAGAATGAAAATAAATATTTTAGCTCGTGCATTATAGCTAATAAAAATAAGCTTTAATTAACATAAATAGACATGGAAATTATAAAGTAGTTGCAATTCTTGAGAATTTCTTAGAATCTGAACATGGAAGTTCTATTAGTCTAGATATGTACTGAGTCACCTTGAAGAAAGAAAGATGCTTCAGAGACACTGTCAGAGCTCTTCATTTTTACAACAGAGTAAAAAGATATTCGGTTTTTCTTGGTGCTATTCAACCCTATGTAACAAAAGTATTTTGTAACATTAACGTATTTTAAATGTGGATATACTTATACGTGTACTCTTCTTACCCTAATCAGTTAAAAGTTGTGTTTAATTGTGCTACTCGTTAATATGGATTTTTCCATCACTTCACTTCTTAATAATTGCGTAGTGCTTTAATTTTGAATGCGAACTCTTGAATTATAGAATTGTATACCTTTAACCTCATATTATTGTGGTGAAAGGGTAATTCGATTTATTAGTAAAGGTATAACATGAAAGTTGATTGTGAAATATAAACAATATGAGAATTCAACTTATGTAGTTTTCCCAGACCTTACAAAAAATATTTGTTTTTAATTATTTTACAGCATATATCATAATTAGGTGCCCCACTGATTATGAAGTGGACTTCAGAACTATTTGTCAAGCGCGATTTGCGTGACTAATCGTTATTTTCAAGCCATTCTTCTGAAGACATCTCGATAAGAAAACAAACAAAACAACACTCCACGTATCAGGAAATTAGGAGAAAAGAATACCAGTTATTATCAGCTTTAAAATACTGTAATCAGTATACTTCTTGTATGACTCTTAAGTTTGGAAGTTGAAATAAATATAAGTCTCCCTTCATAAATGAATATTCTTATATTGCATACACTTTTAAGCCCGATCTTTGACATTCACAACTTCCAAAAAGTGACCAGTATCAGACAATATCCAATTGTTCCTAATCGTTAGTTGAAAAAAATTAGCATAACCAATTGTTTGTTTCTCGTTTAAGCGCAAAGCCGTATAATGAGTAAGCTTCCTTCTACTCAATGCAGGGATCGAATTCCAAATGTTAACATTAAAATTTTTCAAGTTTTCCACTGAGACATTGGGGAGGCGATATATATATATATAATTATTATCAATATTTTGTCGAATAATTTTCACATAGACATTCACTTTATCATCCACATTAAAATATACATGTTAATGAATTTGTTGGCAAACATTTTTAGAGCACTGATGGTATTTCCACTATATAAAAGCAGTTAACAACAACATAAATCAGAAAGTTTCGGATTAGAATTGCAAAAGTATGATATTTAAGATATATATATAAAATTGCCTCTATGTAAAACCAGGCAACACTACATTCTGTATAACTCTCTTTGAGTGAGTGTGTGTGTAAGTGTGTTGTGGCTTTCCAATACACTTCATAATATTAAGATTTATCATTCATATAAAAAACTAGCTGATGTACCCGGTAAACACACGAGAAAGAGGTAGAGTCTACTTCTAGGGAGTGACATGGAGGGGGGGGGGGCAGATGCAAACACCAACCTCCATGTCACTCTCTGGGATTCCTAATCGTGTATGACAAATCTGATTGAGATCGATAAATAACTACAACCGTAAAAGACAAATACACAGACAAACATCCCCTTCCCCAAAAGTGACGTGTAGGGTGGGGGTGAGATCTAAACGGTGGCCCACTCACTACAAAGCTCCCCATGAGTCCTGGGGGCTCATACCAAGTTTTGGTGAGACTGATCAAAATCTTTTGGTGGGAAAAGCGGACGTGTGCACAACACTTTTACTACATATATAGTGTTGAATTATTTTTTAACATAATTATTTCTTACAAGACCTTCCACATGTGTGTACATTTAGTTTCCTAATTTTGTATTGGTGGACCTGTTTTCAATAACTTCCAAGAGAACAATACAAATAGGCTAGCTATCTGTGGCACTGTGCTGATACTGGATGAATCTGGTGGTGGATAGGACTATGCTGATACTGGGTGAAACTGGTGGTGGATAGGACTATGCTGATACTGGATGAATCTGGTGGTGGATAGAACTATGCTGATACTGGGTGAAACTGGTGGTGGATAGGACTATGCTGATACTGGGTGAAACTGGTGGTGGATAGAACTATGCTGATACTGGGTGAAACTGGTGGTGGATAGGACTATGCTGATACTGGATGAATCGTGGTGGTAGATAGAACTATGCTGATACTGGGTGAAACTGGTGGTGGATAGGACTATGCTGATACTGGATGAATCGTGGTGGTAGATAGAACTATGCTGATACTGGGTGAAACTGGT